CATGCCAGCGAGCTGAACTCGCGGTGGTGCGTGCCACTATATTTCACCCGATGTTCGCATGCTTATCGTCAGGTAGATGCTCTATTTATAAGGCAGCGTCCAGTTCTTGAGCACACTTGCGTGCAGCTCTACTGTAGCTGACCCCCGTATCAGCACCTCCTCGTCTCAACCGGGGACCCGCAGTATGTCGAGTCTTCTGAAGCGGCTGGAGGTCAAGCACGAGAACGAGATCGAAGGGGAGTCGACGGCGTGGATCAACCGCGACATTGTCCCTCTGCCACCGTCACGCAGGACCTGGGGTTCTTGGTCGTTCGTCGGATACTGGCTTCTGACCGGCTTCAACATCAGCGGATGGACGACAGCATCGAGTCTGCTAGGGCTCGGTCTAAACGTTTGGCAGGCCCTGATCTCGGTCGTCATCGGATATCTCATCGTGGCCTGCGCTGTCGTCGGAAATGGGTTTGTTGGGGCGGAATGGCACGTTGGGTTTCCCATATACAACCGATTCGTATGGGGCGTGTTCGGTAGCTTCTTCCCGCTGCTCATGCGCATTCTGCTTTCAATCGTTTGGTATGGTGTGCAACTCGTCTTGTGAGTATCTGCTTCTGAACATGAGAACGCTCGCTAAGCTGTGTATTGTAGTGGGGGCAAGAGCGTGAGCCTGGGTATCCTGACACATGGGAGACCCGGGACACTGATACTCGTTTCAGGTGAAAGTGGTCATCGCCGCCATCTGGCCGAGTTTCTACACTCTTCATAACACTCTGCCACAGAGTGCAGGGATCGAGTATGTAGCATCTTCGAACTGTCGAGGTAGTTATTCTTACCCCCTCTCAGGCTGAACGACCTCATCGGCATATTGGTCTTCGCCGCTGTATCGATGCCGCTCCTGCTTGTTCCCCCGGAGCACTTCCGCAAGCCGTTCCTGGTCGGTAGCGTCATCATCACGATTACCACATTCTGCATGTTCGTCTGGGCCCTTGCCAAGCAAGGCGGCGGAGGAGGACCGCTCCTCAGTCACCCGAGCGAACTCAGCGGTGTCCAGCCCATTACGGGCGGGTCACAACTCGGGTGGGCGATGGCGTACGGGATCAGTTCCACTATCGGCAGTATCTGCGCAGGCATCCTGAACCAAAGCGACTACACCCGCTTCGCCTCATACCCTCGAGCGCAGATCCTGAGCCAGCTTGTCATCGTTCCTCTCGGCTCGATCACAATCGCCCTCTTTGGCGTCATCGTAACGAGCTGCGCGGCCGGATTCTATCCCGACCAGGGGTTGCTTTGGGCCCCCTACGATCTCTTGCAAGCTATACAGACGCATGGTGGCCCTGGTGCTCGCGCTGCATGCTTCTTTGCTGGTTGCGCGTTCGTGCTGTCCCAGTTTGGCATCAACATTCCCGGCAACGCCGTCTCTGGCGGCATCGATCTATCTGGGCTACTCCCGAAGTACATCAACATCCGGAGGTGACCTTCATCCCGATTTTGCCTTCCAGCGGCGTGCTCATGACTGCGCAGAGGCTCATTCCTCACCGCGGCACTCGGCCTTGCGATCTGCCCTTGGAAGCTGCTCACTGGATCTAGCGTCTTCCTGACCGTGCTTAGCTCGTTCGCTGTTTTTCTCGGTCCTTTGACGGTAAGCATGTAGAACTCACCCGGCCACCGACGGTAGGCTCATGAGGATGTATACACAGGGCGTGATGGTCTCCGACTATCTCATCGTTCGTCAGAAGAAATTACGTCTGTCGCACTTGTATCTGCCCGCTCCAGCATCCATTTACTACTTCACCTACGGCGTCAACCTTCGCGCAGTCATCTCCTGGGCATCTGGCGTTTGGCCCCTCATGCGTAAGCCTGCCTGTCGTCCTGTCTCGATGTGATCCATAGTTTGATATGATGGTTCTTGCCTCGTGCTTCCTTCAGCTGGCTTCGTCAACGCCGTGTCTCTGGATCCCATTGGCGTTTCGGAGGGATGGACACGGATCTACGACTTGGCCTGGCCACTTGGCTTCACACTGAGTGCAACGGTCCACGTCGTCCTGAATACGGCGTTTCCACCCCACGGTCTGGGCCAGGTCGATGACGAAGATGTCTTCGGTACCTTCACAGAGAAGGCACCTCTGGACGGCTCTGCCCCGAGCGATACGGATTTGGAGAGCACGAAGGAGGTAATAGCTCGAGATCTGGAAGCTACTGTATAGATCATCACGATGTGTTGTATGACATACATAGATCACAGGAAGTGCGTCGTCAAGGTCAAGGAATTTTGTAAGGTCTCTACCTCTTTAAGGTTGACAATGACTCACACAGTCTCGCAGCGACAAATCATGTGACACGGTCAGCCAGCTACAATGGTACAACGGTGAGGATGATTGCGAGAGGCTCTCTGCCCGCCGTCTTGGCAGATTCTGAGCAATCCGACAATCGAACACTGCACAGCTGATCTGCATGGCCGGCCACTCCATGCGCGGGCGGACAAACTCGAGGGGCATGTAAAGTTACCAACATGAAACACGTCATTGGACACTCGGCGATCGGCGTGCCAAGCTGCATAACTCATGAGCTATTGTAGGGGTGAGAGACAACCAACAGGACGGAAACTCGTCAATACCTGGAAACACCTGTTGCCCGGGGTTTTCTCTCCGCATGCCGACAGACCACGTACCCTGAAGCGGCTATAGCTCTCCCTCGTGGATCCGACAACGTCGCGCGTATGGTCACTCTACTGACCAAAACAGCTCCAATCACGCTTCCTAGTGGGAATGCTTAGTGGCTTCACACCCGCGGTGTCGCAACTCTGGGTCGCGTTCCTCCGGAGCCATTCAAAGCGCCTCTCACGCGACGGTCTGGGTCAGCCTGTCGCGATGCGCATACCCCTACCTCCTGACTGGACCGCTCCTATGCGACTTCTGTTTGGGTAGAGGAGTACCGGAGTACATATAAGTGCATGGCTCAGTACCTCACCTCCCAGAGACCAGTGCGAAGTCTTTCTCTTGAGCATGACGACGTCGACTCCTCCTAAGGCTATTGAGGATCTCGACTCCTTCTTCCCCCTCCCTTCACCCCCGTCATCCCGTCAGCTCCCCGCGCGTCTGCCGGGAATAACTCACGCGTCTAGCGTCTCTTTGGTTAATACCCTGAAGGACAACCATGTCAAGTGGCATGCTTACTTCAATGACCGCGGATTCCACAAGTACGTCGTACCTATCCCTGGCATCGCTGGCAGCGAAGCTGACGATCTCGAACAGTCACGCTTCCCACCACCTTGTGGCAATCTACGCCATGGGAGCGGGAGGCCCGCTCATCGAGGCGGCGTACCAGACGCACGTTGCGTACATGAGACCGGCGTTCCAGTCTCCCGAGCCGATCGACGACAAGAGCTTTTGGCTACATCTCGGAAAGCGGGAGTAGGTTTCTGCATCAGAGGTCGTAACCCAACCGTGCTGATGCAGACTGTCTTCTAGATTCTACAACTCCTACTTGGAGTTCTTCAGATCGCTCCTGCGCAGCAAGGACGTCACCGAGGTCCTCGAGGAATACGTCTTCTCTGCCAAGGCGAATGTCGGCGGAACTGGCATCGAGGGCGAACCCAACGTGCTCGCTAGGTTCCTAGCTGCCTTGGTGCATCCCCTCATCCACGTCGGCAATGGCCTGGAGTTCGGTTTACTGGGGCTGGTTGCTGAAGGTAACATCGCATTTATCCGTCCCGTAAGGGGCATGACTGACTGACGTACGTGATGCAGGTCTCGCCCAGGCGGCAACGCATAGGGACCAGGGGAAGAAGCTGGTTCCGGCGGCGCTCTTTCAGCACCGGCAGAAACAGAAGGACGCTCAAGGGGGCAGCGTCTCCCGCTTGACCTCGTTGATTCCTTCTCTTACCCTGCGCAAACGCCCATCGAACGACGGTCGCGCTGCCGGCGCCGCGGAGAGCAAGTCTGCCAGTGTCCATGCGTTCTCCATCCTCGCGCGCGTCGCCGCCGACGAGAAGTTCTCCCCCGCAAGCCTTGGGCTCCCACCGCCGGAGGAGGGGCCGCCCTTCGACCACGTTGAGGAAAGGGTGGGCGATGCCCTTGCAGAGCTCGCTGCAGAATGGGCGGCGGACCTTGAGGGGGAGGGTTCCACTCCAGCCGCGATCGACAAGAAGATCGAAGAGCTCATATGGATGAACGCGATCATATACGGCGTCGGCGGATGGGCCGGGCGCGAGCGTGCTGCTAACAAGCAGTTCAATGCTGACTTCTTCAAGTGAGTACGCTAATGGGCTCCCGCTCTGGCTAAGTCGCTAATGTGGGTACATTAGCATGCATCTCGTCACGTCCTCTCTCTTCTTGCCTACGTTCTCTGCATACCTCTCCCCACGTTCCATGGCAGTCCTCCTGCGTACGTACTTCGCGCTCAGTCTCGCCTGGTACATCGCTCGGGGCCGTCCCGCGCTCCCCATCCGCGAGTTCTACGAAGCGACGACTGATAAGCCTACTCCCCCGAACTCCGGGCAGAGCGTCTCGCCGGCAAAGGATACCCTGACTCCCGAGGACGTCGCGCCCAACCCATGGCTCCCGATCATTCAGACTACCATCGTCCACCCCGGCGAGCATGTGTGCAAGCTGCAGCGCGCTCTTCTCCACAACGCGACGGCGTACGGGACGCGCGAGGCCGGTCATTTCACGGGAACAGGTCTTGAGGGTGCCGAGGTGCTTGATGGGACCCTGTTCATCCGCGCGGCGGGACTGACTGCAGCCCGGGTGGGTTGGATGAAGGAGGGACAACCCCAGGGAGGGGGTTTCTTCGAAGGGTCAGTCGGATCGGACTGGGACCGTTCAGGGTTCGTCTAGTTGGTCGGTGAAGGAGGCTCTTAAGCTTGTACTAGTATCGAAAAACCGCTCTAGTGTCGTTCATGTGTGCGCATCGGACAGTTCGAGGTTACCCGTACTGTTGGTCGGCCTGCAGAAATGGTACAATGGGTCAGTAAGTGGTGGAATAACCGGTTGTTCCTGTATGTACACGGTTCAGTGGTGTAGTTGGTTATCACGTCTGTCTCACACATCCGCTCTATGAAGCAGATCAAGATCACAGGAGGTCTCCGGTTCGAGCCCGGACTGAACCACTTTTTCCTTCCTACAACGGCCAAGTAGTTGCTGGCGCGCGCCCGAAGTCGCAGCCTGCAGGGGCCGACTTGCTGTACATCTCAAGACGGACATGCACAACGGTCTCTCCTGAACTTTGTAATACGGTGCAGCGCGGCCTGTGGTCTGGTAAGAGCGATTCTGGTTTCTGCGCTGGTTGGGTTCGGTAGACTGATGAACACCGGGCCCTCGCTGTCCCAAGGTGATCCTAGGCAGTACTTTTGGCTGTATATTACGACTCGGAGACTGCGACACCGACCTACTCCTGGCACATGCGCGGAGCTACCATGTCTTCGCATTCAGCTCGCGGACGGACGGTACTACCGAACCCGCCAGACTCTCACAAACGGACGCTTCACATACTCTCCTGCGCGGCGACCCTCCTCACCCTCCTGTTGACCGTCCTATCGTCTCGACTTCCCTTGTTCGACGCGTCACCGCATGTCCTGTTGGGAGACTCGCAGCGCTCTCCGAGCTCGTTGCGCCACACCCTCGCATCGGCCGTCCTGCGATGGGACACTTTCCACTTTGCGCACATTGCCGAGGAGGGATACCTGTACGAGAACGAATGGGCCTTCTTCCCGGGAGTGCCGTGGGTCATGCGCACCTGCGCTTCCGTTCTCCGAGCCACGGGTCTTTCACAGCAACCGGCGGGGGTCCCGTTCGAGTGGGAGGAGCTCCTGCTTGGCGGCCTCATCGCCTCGTCTGTGTCGATCCTCTCTGTCGGCGACCTGTATGATTTAACGGCGCTGCACTTCCAATCGCATTCAATCGCGTTCCTTGCCTCGCTGTTGTCGTTGCTACCTAGCAGCCCAGTCACGCTGAGGATTGCAGGGTATAGCGAGGCCTTCTTTACCTTCCTATCCTACAAGGGTACGTTCAGAAGCACACAGAAATGTCAGGGACGACACTGATGGTACCACACACAACAGGCATGTTATGTTGCGCGAGAAAGCACTGGCTCAGGGCGACGTGCTTCTTCGCACTTGCCGCGACGTTTCGGTCCAACGGGATATTCGTATGCGGTTTCATCACCTGGGGGCTTGTGGTGGAACCCTCACTGAACCGTCAGAAGGTACATGATCGCTTACAGTTCGCCATAGCTCGAGGGCTCATGAACCCGCGTTTCAGGTCTCTCTTGGTCGAATTCTGTACGCAGCTGCCTTGTGCATCACTGTCGTCGCCTTCTTCGTTGGGTACCAATACCAGGCCTATCGTCTCTTCTGCAAAGGACCGTCAACACCTACACACTGGTGTTACGCGTTCCCTCCGTCCATATACACCTACGTGCAAACGAGGTACTGGAACGTCGGCTTCCTGCGGTACTGGACTCTCCAGCAGCTGCCCAACTTCCTCCTAGGCGCCCCGCCTCTCCTCCTACTTTTCACGTTCACGCTGCGCTACCTCCGCCTCGCCCTCATCCCACGGCTGGTCAATCACATCTCGGCCTCGGACTCTCCGTCAAAATCACCAATCGAGAATGCGTCGCCGTTCCTCTCGCCCTCAATCGCCCCGCACGTTATCCACGCACTCGTCCTCTGCCTCCTGCTGCTCTTCGCCTCGCATACGCAGATCGTACTACGGCTTGCGGCGTCGATGCCGCTCACGTACTGGGCAGCGGCGTGGCTCGTAGCCGAACGGCCGACCTTGGGCAAGTGGTGGGTGGGCTGGAGTGTGGTCTGGGGCGCGGTGAGCTGCGTATTGTGGGGCGTCTTCTTGCCGCCAGCATAAGGGAGGAATGAACCTCCCAGACTCCACTATCGGCTCCCCGGTGGTCGATTACGACGTGGTGACTGACGAGGCGAGGCGCGTACGGGGATTCGATGGCGTCGTCGCCTTCGGGATACGGTACGTCGGCTGCTCCGTTGGCTGCTCGGCGACTTCTCTAGATCACTCACCTTTGGTGCATACTAGGTGGCTTGCACGTGTAGCCAGTGCGAGCTACGAGCCTCACAGCACATCGTGCATCATGCAGCTCCACCATCCCGACAGTCCTGAGTTGAACGTCGAGAATAGTACCACCGTAGTGGTGACCTCTCTCTCGGACGTCTACTGACTTACTGGTTTCCTTGTCCTGCAGCAGTACTGCTCGATCAAATTCCTATGTGAAGTTAAAACCGCGCTATGATATAGATGGTGTAGATTATGTTCATGGAACGGATGGCGATTAAGCTCTGCGCAGTTGTGCAGCCATTTTTCATGGTGGTGGGATCATTGATTTCGGATGACCGCGGCCTTGTCCGGGCGCCTATGGCTCCCGCGGCTTCTACACGAGTCTACGATGTCTGAGTGTGCGAATGGAGACGCTGCCATTTCATCTGACCACCTCGACAATGATACCACCTGTACACGGCCGACGAGCACGACGATGGCGGTCGAGCAGTGGCTGGAGCAGGCGAGAGGAGCCAGACTGGGTGGGGAGGGAGCCATAGACGGACAGGCCACGTGCGGAAAAAGGCGACAAGCATTTAGCCGGGTCGTACGACAACCGCTCGCGGGGCCGCCGAAAAATCCGGGAAGCAGGTAATAAAACCGCCCACGGCCTCCCCCACGCTCGCCACGGCGGTTGTCTCTTGTCTCTCTTGCCCTCTCTTCTTGGCCCGGACCTCTGCTCGACACGCGGGACTTCACTGAACTTGACGCCGACGCTCACGACCACCGCCAACATGAACTCGACGGCCGCGTCCGTGCATCCCACCGCGGAGATGCTCTACGCCAACACGGACTTCACCCAGCTGAACTGGCTCGAGATGCAGTGGGTGAACTGGTACATGTGGATAGGGAACCCCATCATCGCGACGGGCCTCATGAGCTTCCTCCTGCACGAGGTGCGTACATTCGCGCGTTCTGGCACGCGCTACTAGACGCCGTCCTGACTCTTCGCTAGATTGTCTACTTCGGGAGGTGCATCCCGTGGATCATCATCGACGCGATTCCGTACTTCAGGAAGTGGAAGCTCCAGCCTAACAAGATCCCGACGCCCCAGGAGCAGTGGGAATGCACCAAGCAGGTCCTCTTTTCGCACTTCATGGTTGAGCTCCCCGTGGTACGTTTCTCTCACCCCCTCTGCCCACGCCCCGTCCGTGCTGAGACACCGTTCTTTGGTAGATCTGGCTCTTCCACCCGATGGCGGAGGCGTTCGGCATGATGACCTGGCAGGTGCCCTTCCCGTCGTGGCGGCAGCAGCTCCCCCAGATCGCGTTCTTCTTCGTGTTCGAGGACATGTTCCACTTCTTCGCGCACCAGGCGCTGCACTGGGGCCCGCTCTACAAGAACATCCACAAGATCCACCACAAGTACTCGGCGCCGTTCGGTCTCGCGGCCGAGTACGCGCACCCCGCCGAGGTCATGATACTCGGCACGGGCACCATCGCCGGCCCCCTGCTCTACTGCTGGTTCCGCCAGGACCTGCACATCTTCACGGTCTACATCTGGATCACCCTCCGGCTCTTCCAGGCTATCGACGCGCACAGCGGCTATGGTACGTGTCCTGTTTGTCCGCGTCGCCAGGACGGTGCACTGACGATTTGTTCGCCGTAGACTTCCCCTGGTCGCTGCAGCACATAATCCCCTTCTGGTCGGGCGCGGAGCACCACGACTTCCATCACATGGCGTTCGTGAACAACTTCTCGACGTCGTTCCGGTGGTGCGACCGGCTGTTCGGGACCGACGACAAGTACCGCGCATACCGCGCGCGCATCGAGAAGATGAAGAAGCTGAACCTGTCGCCCGAGGAGTACGCGAAGATGGAGCGCACGATGATCGCGGAGGCCGAGCGGGAAGGCCTGCGTGCCGAGGCGGAGGTCGAGCAGTACTCGTTCAGTGGGAAGAAAAAGACGGCGTAAGGGCCCTTCCACGGCGAGTTTGGCGGAGTGGGCGTTTCTTAGGTTGGCCGTTCCCCGCGTGTTGGGGTAGAGGAGGTTTTTGCAAGGATATTCTATCATAGAGGCAATGTTCACATACCCGCTGCTTTCCATCTATAATCGCATAATGTACCTCTAACTCCACAACACAGACCCCATGCTCAGCGTTGGAGAAGGTGTGCGCGACCGACGCCCAGCGAGGCGCTCATCCACTTCGCAGACGAATGGTACGCAGGATGCACTGACATGGCCGACTCGGAGAACCTGACGGAGCTCTCAAGTTCGGAGAGGAAAGACGTCACGCGTCACGCCACCGCCTGCCGGGATGAGAGGAGGTTCCGACCCACCGGGCATCGCGGGCGCGGCAGCCGGCATCCTATCCACGACCACCCGCTCCACTTACCTTCCTCAGGGGAGGAGGGCCCGTCGGAGTACCGCCGGGCTTGTCTGAGTTTAATCATCGGTTTTGTTGTATCTGACTGTAGGGCATGGCTTTCATTGGGAAGGCATATATAGTACTTACGAGCTCGGACGGGGCGGGTGCAGCAGGCGCATCGCACAATAGAGCGGCTGGGTGTCGTGTCTGCAGAGATGTGCTTCTTGTCCTCCACGGGGTTATTGACCTGCCGTGAAGCGACGGGTGGGATAGCGGGCGTCGATGGAGGCGACCGACTCAGGCGCCTGGTGCGGAGGTTCTGCGATCATGAGCCTTCCCAGAGTCACCTCGGACACCTCTCAGGCTGGGAACCGGAGACAGTCATCGAGCCCGGTCGATGCCTGGTCTATGCATACCGGTTGTCACTGGTACCGGCTCAGACATTTCCTGGTGTCGTGGCGGCGCAGCAGGGGTAGACCGCCGCATACGCAAGGTAGGAAGGGACGACGCGAACGACGCTGACGTTCAACCTCAAGAGTGTGCGGTGTTACGGAGCAATCTTCGGCTACACTCCTGCATGCATTCTAGGTGAGGGGGGCGCGGCGTATTCTGCGGGCAAGCAAGAGAATACGGACGTTCAAGTGCAGATTCGGAGGCGATTCCCCCAGCGTTGCATGCAGCTTGTCTTCTCTAGGCAGATGGTGAGTGTGACCCTACTCTCGACTCGGAGTCATCACTCACT